AATCAACCAATAGAAAATCAACAAACTTCTATGTCATTAAATTGTTTTAGAAATAAAAGTGGGGTATAATTGGATACATGGTTGTGATTGGTTGACCGTGTAAAACTATTTTACACTATCAGTGCATCACTTCTTTCCTCATTTACATTTGTATATAATGAAATATGCTTTTTATACTGTATTTATTCTATCTTCATTCTTGATCCATCTTGCACTAGATCTGTTCGAAAGCTTGTATATATGTTTTTCCCTCATTTCTGAACCCTTTTGATTCACCAATAGCTGCTTTTGCTACTTTACGAAACGTATTTTAATCAATAATATTGTTTTGCCAAGCTGTGTGCATATAAAAGTAACCACCCCTTGACCAGCACAAGACCCTTTTTACACATAATGGGTTTTTCCCTCAAATTTTATATGGAGAAAAAGTGGAAATCTCTGGCCACAACTAGGTTTAATTTCAACTATATTCAATAGCTGTAGTGTTTTTTAGTTAGACAGTTTATTATGAAAAAAGGTAAAGAAAATGGGTTTTAATAATTTAATGAGTTTTTCACGAGTCTTGCTGATGAGGGCCTCAGTACCATAAGTTTACATCCCAAGGAATAAAAAATGAAAAATATTCAATCAGTATATACCACATACCATTTAATACATCGGAAACTTAAAAATGTCCTGCTTTGTGTATAATTTCAACTAGGTATAATTTCAACTAGGTTTAATTTCAACTATATTCAATAGCTGTAGTGTTTTTTAGTTAGACAGTTTATTATGAAAAAAGGTAAAGAAAATGGGTTTTAATAATTTAATGAGTTTTTCACGAGTCTTGCTGATGAGGGCCTCAGTATCATAAGTTTACATCCCAAGGAATAAAAAATGAAAAATATTCAATCAGTATATAGCCACATAATTTTTCAATTAATAATTAAAAAAAGTTTCAAAGAAATTTAAAATTATTAGCCCGCTCCGGCAGTAACTAAAACCATAAACTGGCTCCGACAACAACCAAAACCATAAACTGTAAGTTACAAGTGATTATGCGAAAATTGTTAGCATTTTGCTTCTCCATAAAATGGAAACTTGGTACTATAAAGCTCTCGCCTTTTCATAAAATGGCAACTTAGTACTATAAAGCTCTTGTCTGAGTCTAGGGAAGAGAGGATGAGTCTAGGGAAGAAAGGGTCTTTTGATCCCGTTACGGATCTACTGTACATTACCCTGCATTTGCAAGAGGTTGATTACACGACTTGAATACAGGATCACCTAGTCACATAGCGACAACTCCCATTTTGAGCATTTGGGTTTTCATATTTCATATAAATGGAAGAGACTTAAGTGAACCTGGATGCTTTGGAAGTTTTCCCTGTAGTGTATAATATATCAACCTGGAAACAGAAGTGAACTTTGGTTATATAACTTTTCTTATGTATCTATCTTTGGGTTTATTTCTTTCTAATACTTTTTCTTATTGAGTTTTTTTTTTTTTTTTAAATCTTACAGAGTCTCTCTTTTCTTTTGTCTGTTTCAGGAAGGTGTTAACATATTGGCTGTCAATTATGGTGCTCCAGGGGCTTGTCCTTATCCCCGGCAACTGAAGCTTGTAAGTTATGTTTTCTTTGGGCAGCTGCACTCATTTCTTGTATTGTTAATTGAATAATGCTCAACTCCAGAACTTTTCAAATTTTTTGTTGTCATCTATATTCTCATCTTCTTAACGTCTTTCTTGTTTGCACAAGGTGATATTTAATAATACTATCTTTCCATAACCTTCATAAATTGATATAAATATAAAACTATCCAATGTTATATTTGTTTCTTCCATACTTCATTTGCTTGAGCATCTAGAATATTTGCAGTATGTCAGCATTAAGAAGGGTTATTTTAAGATCTTCAATTCCTTGGAGATGATGTGATTAGATCCAAAACTGGCAGGTAGAGTGGAAGTTTAGACTGAAGACGAGTTACCTTGTTAACAAATATTATGGGATCCGATCCATGCTTTGTTTTAAAGAGTCATTTTTTGTGTGCAATGAACCCTTCTATAAACTTGGTCTACCTGAGTATTCAATATACATGTCCTGGTTGGTTTTGTTATCTGCAATGCTCCAATTTGTTCATAATTTGTGCAAACTTAAAAGATGTTGTAAAACCTGATTTTTATATTGTGAAGGCTTATTTCATACATGTTTTTTTTTGGACGTTAGCCTTCAAAGTGGTCTTTCAAGTCACACACGCTTTTGAAGAACACTGAACAGGCGCCAAGGTATGTACTAGGACTGACATTTCCAGTTTTAATTGTAATTATTTTTTTAACTCAAAACAACTAATAACAGAAGACGGACAGCGTACAAAGTGCTCCTATTAAGGTTGCTTCGAGAGCAATTTGTTATGAATAACTTTCTAAAATTTTGAATGCTATTCTCCTAAAGGAAACACATAAATTTTGAAAACTATTTTCTATGTCAAACTGAAAATTCAAGTCTGCATAATGCTGGCTTTTTGTCATATTTATTATGGTTTATATAAAGTCTGATCGGATGAAGTTGACAGTGAATAAAGGGCCTTATCTAGCTTTCATTATTCTGCACAATCATTTTCATTTTGAAGTTTAGGCAGCATAATTTATTTTCCAGTCTGATACATAACTGTCATGATGGCAGGCTTGACAAATTTTATATGTTTTCTAATCAACCATTCTTTCACTTAGTCTTGTCTTATTTCACTTTAGTGCATATGCAGTCAACTCAACAACCAATCCACTTGGTTTAGAGGAAGATCTGTCTCAGGATTAAAGCTCGTTTAGGTCAAACTTAAATAAAATTGGGTTATTTGGTGTTATGCCTTGTTCTGATTTTCAAAGGGTATGGAATAGCCATGATTCCACAAACTATTTTAATCTTACAATCATTTTGGACACAGTTGACAAAAATAAGTGGCCAACCACTAAGTTTAGGTAATGATTCATTAGAATGAATTGAGATTCATCTCAGCGAACAATAATTTATCTTAATGAGTTGAGATTTAAGACGAGATTCATGTCCAAAGTAGATACACACCAGAGATTCATATTGATTGAGTTTAAGTTTTTATCAAATCGAATTATGACCTGCATGTGTTGTAAGATATTGATAATCATTGCTTCATCTTTATGACCAGTTTTTACTTGTGTACTTAAGTATTTTTTTAACAAATATTATTTGCTCAGGACACCAATATTTACAGAAGAGGTATTTGGTGGAGAGGGGATAGAAGGTGAAATTGTACAGCCAATAGAAAGATCTTTTTGGGCTAAATACGTGAGTATACAACATACATGCTGCTGGCTTGATCTTTAAGCCAGTTTTTATTTTATTTAATTGTTTAATTAAACTATATATGCATACTAATTTTTCTATATGGAACCTTTCTTGATATCAGTGGATGTATGTGATCCCTCTCGGACTCATTGTAATGAACGCCGTTACCCAAGCAATGAATATGCCTGAGGAACAGGCTGGTGGGCAAGCTGGGGCACCAACACAGCCAGGAACTGCAGTACAGAGGGGATCAAATTCTGGTGTGCGCAGAAGATGATAATTTTGGTTTCATCTACCTAAGAAAACATTATTTAGGGACAATGAAATTTAGATTTTCCTTTTATGTAACATTTCAAAATAATTTAGTTACATGTATTAGCTCTGTATTGGGGAACTTTGAAACAGCAGGGGTAAAATTTTCCAGTTAGATTGAGTAATTAATGTCGTTTAAATTTTAACATGAAAATCCAGTCTGGTTTTGGTGATGATTCTGGGGCTATGTTATATGATGTGAAGAAATATTAAATAGTTTTTGAATTGTATGAAGTTTATAGGCTTGGTTTTGTTAATTGATAGTTTAAATTCAATAGTTAGTTAAATTCTTTTTCAATTTTGTGAAGTTGAGCATGTCAATTTCGACTTGTGTAAACTACATATTTTAGTGCAAACTGTAACAAAAACAAAGCGACATGCTACTTCCTCTTGTCCTTGAGGAGTAAAGCGTCGGCTTGTTTTTTCTTGACAAAATTGCTGCTATCCCGCCTCTTTTGTTGAACGTTACAGATGTGTGTTTTTGTGAGGAGATAGAAAGGGTTGATTTTCTCTGGCGTATATTTTTAGGTTACATATTAACTTTATGCATATGGGGCACTGGACAGCTACGATGAGGGTGTGGTGGTTAGATGTAACTGATTGTTATGTGCTTAATTTGTATTTTGCATCATAAAAATAAAATGTGTCTTGGGGATCTTTATTGACATGGAATTAACAGTTTATCTTCTGAATGATTGTCTTCTTGCAATGGGAATATGGCTAAACGTGGTGAACATATCATAGCACAACCTTTTCTCTGTATGTGATTAATCTCAGTGGATAGATGCTACCTCAACAAAGAAATTTCGTCGGTATGGTGGCCTTGGGTGGCAAGAATTTTAGGCAATAACATGCCATTCCTTATGGCAATGGAGGAATATGCAATTAAATGCGGATAATTTTCATTATCCTATGAGGCTGTATCCACAGGTTTCTAGGCTGGTTTGCAATTAAAAGAAGTTCTAACTTCTAAGTGGTCAGATATTCAATTCAATAAGATGTCTACTGCTGTGGCGGACCTTCATTGGTGGTCACCAAAGATTAGGTTGGATTAAGCTGTGAGTGTAGACACTGCTGTGAAGGGTGTTAGTGTGTCTGAGTGTGTCTGGGTGTTAATATGAGACGAAAACAATTCTAAAATAAACTCTAGCACGTTTAAATAGTCTTTTCAACAAAGACTCGAACCAACTTCATATCATGATTAGGTTTCAAATAAATTGACAACAGATGGAAAATACAACCAATGTCAAGGTAAACATAATTCATAGCAATACACAAACTAAGATTAGTTCTTCCTCTTCTTCTGCTTAATGCTTTAGAAAGCATTTGTTGGGGATATGCAAGGCATCTGGATTCTTCCAGATAACAAATAAGAAAGGACGCTTCATACGATCAGAGTTCATCCTGCATATTGAAAGAAAGTATTTCTCAGTACAAATATAAAGCTGTCAAAGATTATATATCAATAAATCAATGGAGAAATCACGACTTACATGATAATCGTCCATGTAATCACGGCGATGCTGCACATGGAAGAGAAAACATGTAAGAAAAAATTGTCGTTGTTCCAACACCGAGACATGGAAGAATACCAGACTATTTCTACTGTTTTTGCCAAATAAGTTTGTTATCTAGTATCTACTAGAGCATGACTTCTTCCATGAATAAAAATGAATATAACTTCTATTCTAATCCAGTATAATACAAACCTTTCTATATCTGTCTCTATGTCTGTTCCGGTGTCGATCATAACCTCTATCTTTTCTCCTCCTTTCACCTTCTTCTCTTGCTCTTTGAGCCTCCTGCACAAATAATTTAGAGTTAAGATTCTGTAAGCAAAACAAGGTTGAGTCAAGAAAGAAAGAAAATGGAACGAAATAGTGTATGTTCACGTACCTCCTCTTCTTGGGCTTTCTTTATTTTCTCTGCTTCCTCAAAACCCTCCTTTTCAATCTGAGATGCCACAAAACTGTTAAGAGCAGCAACTCGGCACGAAAGTTTAACAAATAATGAACAGTGTTTGTTAACGAAGTTTGGCTAATGATCCCCAAATTTCCGACAATATTGAACTAAATCAGACACAAGTCAAATGGAAAAAAACTCACCTCTCTGTTGGCAAAAACTTCATCAACAACTTGTTTTGCATAATCAGGATCATCACAAATCAAAATGTTGTCAAATACCGAACCACCTTTAACCTGAATCACAATATATGCCTTAGTTTTATTAATCATGACCATCTAATTCAGCCTAATGGCTCTACACATTCTAGAGAAAAAGAAAGATATGTAGCAGCATACAAGACATCACTAAATTTGGAAATGTACATTCACTATACCTGCCAAACTTCTATGCCGACATATTTGATAGGCTTAAGCACATAAAGATCGGGGTCATCTTCGAACTCTGAGACACGGAGAATCAAAATTTAAGCATTTACTAATATGCATGAAAGTCTGAAATATACACTAAATTATGACATTTACTAATATGCATGAAAGTCTGAAATATACACTAAATTATGACAGAGAATTAGATATAAACTTGAAAATACCTGGATTATCTAACCATGGAGTTTTCCATTTGCCTTTGTAATTAGGATTCTTGATTTTCTGTCAACATAGAGGTTGAAAGTAAGAGATGATAGTCAATGAAAGGAAACTGATATAATATAAAAAATAAAAAAACTAATTCTTGCAGCCTTATAGCTCCTCTAACTTGACTAACAAACCTTTCGTTTCCATGGTCCTTTGTATGCTGGATTTGGGATCTTCGGCCGTTTCCATATTCCATCTTCATCTTCATCCCAACTATCAGGCTAATTAAGAGGAATAAAATGTGTAAGTTTTCTTTTATATATAAAAAAAAAACCCTCATATATCTTTCTTTTTCGAGGTTATTATATCAGAAAATTTATCGGTAGAGAGGCATTTGTAGATCCACTTTTCCACTCAACTAACCTCTTTAGCCTTCGGGTCAGGAATTTCTGCTGGGATTGAATCATATCCCTGCAATGCAAATGAATGAATAAATGAGTTTTCCATACAAATGGACTAAAATACGATCCTGTTGCCCCGTTATCATTATGAAAAGATTAGAACTTTTGAATACCTCAGGCTTGACCGAATTAGGGTCTTCAATGTATTCTCTGTCATCCCAGTCTGCAGGCTGCGAGTAGCGAGAGGTTTTAATTCAAAATACAAGTTATTTCTATAAAAAAATGCAGCTCAACAACCGAATTAGATGACCAAAAGCATCATGTCTCGCTAAAGGATAATGTTAGAAGTTAACTATTAAGTGAAACAAATCAGAATGAAACCTTTTTTGCCTTGACGTCTTTGATTTTTCGTGGAGGGAGAATATCCCAATCTGTATACATGCTACCGGATTCCCTCTCTCTATTATCAACCAGGACGCTGTATGTAGCATCCGGCCTGAGGATGAATGTGTAGAAATGAGTCAACTTGTCTGTTTCACACTGCAGGTCCTTCTTTATCGGGTAATTTTGACCTTGGTACGAGACTATGACATGGAGCTTCTTCGTGTCCGTGCCGCATAAATCTGGTCCAAACATTACACTGTAGAGAATTTGTCAGCCTAAAACTCTTTTTTGTCGAATAAAAAACAAAGTGAAGAAAATGGAATAAGAAACACACCTATAAGGTGTATCCCCACCAAACTTCTTTTGATTAACAAATCCAGAGAGGAGTTTCATGTAACCTCCTCCACACTCAATCTCTTGTTCGAATTTTATAGAGTACTGAAAAACCAGTGTTCGGTTCTTGTTAGTGAATTCCGGTATCTTCGCAGAGATGGCAAAGTGCTTTGCGTCATTAGATGTTTGGATACCTACCACAAAATCACACAAAAAATGACTAAACATTACAAGAGCAACCAAATTCGTTACTACCATTTTGTACATAACATGCTTGAATCCGTATCAATTAAGGTTTTAAACTGTGGCCTTGGCCGAGATTACAGAGATTCCAAAAACCGAACAAGTACCTTTATCATCGGGATCTCCAGCCCATTTCCCAGCTGTGTGCTTGAACGAACCTGCTTTGCCTTCGCTTCTTTTCCAGTCCGATTTTACCCACCGACTTTGCCATCCATCTTTTCAAAATCCAACACATTAAAACCATGTCATATAATCATTGAAAAAAATTGAGAAAAAAAAAAGCCACAAACTATTTAAGCTGAACTAAACACCATAATCACTTTTTTTGTTTGATATGCTACCTTGCTTAATCTATAATTTCACTACTAACTAACATCATCTTTTGAGTTTTCAACATTTCTATCACAAAATATTTTAAAAAAATAAAACATTCTTATAATCATCAAAAACTATAAACTAAAGCATACAACAAATTAAACATGTAACTAATAAATTTCATCTATTTGAATAACTAACTAACTAACTAACTGTAATTAGTAACTAATTAAACTTAACTAACTTTTCACTTATTTTAACGGTTGAAACTAAAATTTCAGCACAAAAATACCTTCGAATCGCTCTTCAAAAATGATTTCTGAAAAGGAAATTTGAACTAGCAACAAACAGAATAACATAAACATCTTGAGATCAGTTGAAACATTTTCCGCCATTTGCGGAATAAGCTATTTTTGCTCTATCACTGCTAAGTTACAGAATTGAGCTTACTTATAGAAATCTAAACTACTTCATTGCCTCTATACTTCGCTTTAATTACTTTTATGCCACCACACTAAATTCCACTGAAACTTTAATGTTTGATATGCTCTATTCAATCACTTAGTTATAATAAAATAATAGAATTTAATTGAAATACAAATTAATGTGTTGAGATGTTTGATTTTTAATTTATTTTTAAAAAAATAATATATTTGCATGGTTATGATATATGGATGGTGTAAATTTTTTTACATTAAACTCAAAATAATATTATAAAATATGAACTTATGCCCTTAAGAAATTAAAGGTAAAATTTTATTTAAAATTACACATGAAAATTTTTAAGTTTTTTTTTTTTTAAAATAAAGCTTTCTTATTTAGCATATTTGAGTGTTTTAACATTTATTTAAGTAAAAATGATTGTAGATTTTATTTAAATTTATATAATGTGGTGGAATATAGTGGTATAAAATGAAATAACAATAAAATTTTATTGTTTAGGTAATTTAAAATGAATTTAATTAGTTAACACTAACAGTATAAAAAAGTTTGTTTTTTATTTTAATTATTTATAAAATAATATTTATGAATGATTATGATATATTGATCGTATAAAAAAATATATCTTGATGGTATATAATAATTAATCTTATTTAAAATTAGACGAAGAAAAATAAAATTAAGTGATATATTTTTAATTTTTTTTAAAATATATATCTTATTTCATTAGACTTCTTACCATCAAATTTTATACTCCTTATGTCCAAAAATGAATAATTCACCAGAATAAAATAATATTCTAAAATGAATAATTTATTTTAATTTTTAATATACTTTTTTTAATTTTATCTTTTAATCAATAAAATTTCATTATTTTCAATACATAATAAGAGATATTATAATAAAAATATTATTTTCTTTTATTTTTTTTATATTTTTCTTAATAAGTGTGAAATGATAAATTAGATCACTTATTATGATGCAGGATGCACATTTATTTCAAATATATATTATTAATAGAAAAATGTTTGGTAGTTATGAAAAAATAATAATTGAATATAAAATTAATAAAAAAAAGAGTTTTTCAAAATATAAAATTATATGTAATAATCATTTTCATTTAATAGTTATTTTCAATTGGTAATAAATTTAGTCATTGCTAGAACATCATTGATATTTATTATTACTATATGAAAAAAAATAATTAAAATAATAATGATAGTATATATCATTAAATATCATTGTATAATATTTTTTGAACGATAAATATGTTGGAAATCCACCAATACACTATGATGAATTTCGACCACCACTTGATGATAAGTTATGAAACAAACAAATAAAAGAACAATGGAGATATTTCTCCAGAATTTCTATTCTGCCCACAAACTGTGGAAACTTTATTAATTCACTTTGCAACTGCAAAATACTGTGAATGAGTTCAATGACTTGAATTCAAAAATAAGGGTTACTCCCTCTTATTTATAGATTTAGGTTAGCTTGCTCCCTAAGCTAAACCCAAGCCCAAAATATCTCTTTACTAAATCAAATCTAATCTAGATTTAAATTCAAATCTATTTAAATCTAAACAAATCAAATCTTCTTTTGACACCTATGAATTACAATTTAACACACCACCTAATTCATTGTGTCTAAACTGTCTATGTTCATCATGGCCCTTAGCTTTCTGAATACTTCGACTTGCACTCCCTTCGTCATGATGTCTGCAATCTGATTCTCAGTTCTGCAGTGTTCCAAATTCATCTTCCCATCTGCTACCTGCTCTCGAAGATAATGGAACCTCATTTCGATGTGCTTACTTCGACCATGTGCTATTGGGTTCTTCGCCAGGTTGATAGCTGACATGTTGTCTATCTTCATGGTAATTGCTCCATGATTTTTCCCTGTTATCTCTTCGACCAAGTTCACCATCCAGGTTGCTTGGCATGCACAAAGAGAAGCAGCTATGTATTCTGCTTCGCATGATGATAATGCTACTACTGGTTCTTTTCTCGAACTCCAAGCAATTGTTGCACCACCTAGCATAAACACATATCCTGCTGTTGACTTTCGATCTTCAGCATCACTACACCAACTCGAATCAGTGTATCCCACTAACTTGCATTCTTTGCCATAATCGAAAGTTCCTTTGAGATACCTTAGTATCCTCTTCACAGCTGCTAGATGTGATACCTTTGGCTTCTGCATGAATCTACTTACCATACCTACACTGTATGCTAAGTCAGGCCTTGTATGACAAAGGTATCTCAATGATCCAATAAGTCTTCTGTATTGGGTTGGATCAACATCATCTTCATCTGCATCTTTCGACAGTTGCAGTCTTGGTTCTGCAGGTGTCGAAGTTGAGTTGCATTCTTCCATCTCAAACCTCTTGAGAATTTCTCCTGCATATCTTCTTTGATGCATCATCAAACCTCTACTGCTCTTGTAGAATTCGATACCAAGGAAATATGAAATCTCACCCAAATCAGACATTTCGAATTCCTTGCTAAGATCAACTTTGAAGTCTTCGATCTCACTCTTGCAGCTACCTGTTATCAACAAATCATCTACATAGAGACATAGTATAAGCAATTTACTCTTGCTTCTTCTTACATATACTCCATGTTCAGTTATGCACTTCACAAATTCCTTCTCCCTTAGAAAACTATCAATTTTCTTATTCCAAGCCCTTGGAGCTTGTTTCAAACCATACAGGGCTTTATGTAGCTTGTACACCTTTCTTTCTTCGTCATGTTTCACAAACCCAACTGGTTGTTTAACATAAACTTCTTCATCTAAGGGTCCATTTAGGAATGCACACTTCACGTCCATCTAACATATGTGCCAACTGTTGATTTCTGCTAGACCAACAACCAACCTGATTGTTTCGATCCTAGCAACAGGTGCAAAAACTTCGTCGAAGTCTATTCCTTCTTTCTGTAGAAATCCTTTCGCCACAAGTCTTGCTTTGTGTCGAGTTACTTCACCTTTCGAATTAGTCTTCACTTTGTATACCCACTTGACATCAATTGCCTTCTTGCCTTGAGGCAATTCAACAAGTGACCAAGTGTTGTTGTCTTCGATAGACTTTACTTCTTCGTTCATTGCTTTCACCCACTTCGAATCCTTTAATGCTTCAGCTGCATTAACAGGTTCGACATCTGCATAGAAAGCATAATGTACCAGCTCACCTTCATCATCTATTACATCATCTGATGTAATCACACAATCTTGCAATCTTGCAGGCATGCGTCTTGTTCTTTGAGGTCTGCTTGTACTGGGTATATCTGCTGGCTCCTCTTGTCGAACTTCTCTTTCGACTTGAGTTTCTGGCTCTTCGAATAAGATTCCCACTGAATCTTTCTTGACATTTGTAGTCCAATCCCATTCTTTGAACTCATCTATGATCACGTCCCTGCTGATCACAATCTTCTTGTTCTCTGGATCGAATAACTTGTAGCCTCCTGTCGAATGATATCCAACTAGGATCATTTGACTTGACTTGTCATCAAGTTTCTTTCTCAACTGATCTGGCACATGTCTATGTGCAATAGATCCAAATACTTTTAGATGACTCAAGCTAGGCTTCACACCAGACCAACATTCTTCTGGAGTAATTCCTTCTAGCTTCTTTGTAGGACTTCTGTTCAAAATGTATGTTGCAGTCGAAACAGCTTCACCCCAGAACTCTTTGGGTAAGTTCTTGCCTTTCAACATACTTCTCACCATATTCATCATGGTTCGATTTTTCCTTTCTGCAATTCCATTTTGTTGTGGAGTATAGGGTGGCACCACCTCATAAACAATCCCTTCTTTTTCACATAATCTGTCGAAGTCTTTCGACACATATTCTCCTCCACCATCAGTTCTCAAAACTTTGAGTTTTCGTCCACTTTGTCTTTCGACCATGGACTTGAACTTGATAAATACTTCGAACACTTCACTTTTCTTCTTGATCAGGTAAGTCCATAGCTTTCGACTGAAATCATCTATGAATGTAACAAAGTATTTGTTACCTCCCATCGAATCCACCTGGATTGGTCCACATACATCAGAGTATATGACTTCGAGATTAGCCTTCGATCTGCTTCCTGCATCCTTGCTGAAGCTGTTCTTGTGTTGCTTCGCTTGCACACATTCTTCACATACTTCATTTGGAATGTAAATTTCAGGCAATCCTGAAACCATATTTCTTCTCTTCAAATCTCTGATGTCTCTGAAGTTGAGATGACCTAGTCTATAATGCCATATCCATTCATCTCTGCTAGCTGCAGTCGAAATGCACTTGTGCTCCATCACATTTAGTTCAATCTTGAAGGTTCGATTCTGAGACATAGGAGCCTTCAAGATTACTCTCCCATTTGCATCAACAACTCTCATCAACTTATCTTCGATTGATACTTTATAATTCTTTTCGACCAACTGCCCTATACTGAGCAAATTGCTCTTCATGCCTGGTATGTACAATACATTCGAAATTACTGACTTCTTGCCATCTTTCCTCATGATCATAACATCACCAATACCTTCAGTTGCTAGGGTGTTGTCATTCGCAAATTTTACCAAATTTTTCGTTGAGGGTTTTATGTTGACGAACCAGTCTTTCCTTCCAGACATATGTGATGAACATCCTGAATCCAAGTACCATTGGTCCTTGAATCTATCTTCATCTCTTGTTGTGACCATCAGCATCATCTCTTCTTCTTCTTCATGTTTTGCCAGCTTTGCATCACTTTCTTGATTCTTTCGTTTTTCTGGACAATCACTCGAATAGTGACCATACTTCTGACAATTATAACATTGAATGTGACTCTTATCAGGTTTTCGACCACCACCTCTTCCTCTGTTTGCAGCACCACCTCTTTGGTTGCCTTGGTGTGATCTTCTTTGATTTGACACGTCTCTTTCGATTTGGTTTCCTCTGCCATTTGATTTGTTGTAGCCACCTCTACTTCTGTCGAAATACTTTCCTTTGCCTTTGGTCTCTTTTGCTGAATGTGCCTGCAAGGCCACATCACTCTTCGATTTTCCTGCAGCTCTTTCGTTCATTCTTTGTTCATGAGATTCGAGTGTCCCTTGAAGCCCTTCCTTTGTCAATTTCGACAAGTCTTTCCCTTCTTCTATCGCCACCACTATGTGGTCGAACATAGGGGCTAAGGATCTCAGGATCTTCGAAACAACAGCTCTTGTTGTTAATGTTTCTCCACATGTCTTGATTTGATTCACTAGTTTTGTAACTCTAGTGAAGAAATCAGATATGTTTTCACTGTCTTCCATCTGAAGCAGTTCATAGGTCCTTTTGTGAGTTTGTAACCTCACTTCTTTCACCTTCTCAGCGCCTCCAAAAGACTTCTCCAGGATCTCCCAAGCTTCTTTTGCAGATTCTGAATCACCAATCTTCTCGAAATTTTCTGGACTGACACATTGATGAATTATAAACAATGCTTTATAACTCTGTTTCTCAGATTCTGTATATTTCTTCTTTTCTTCTTCTGAAGCGTTTTCGCCAAGCGCTTCGACTCCATCTTTTACAAGGTCCCAAAGGCCTTGACACCTTAATAGGACTTTCATCTGCTTGCACCAATTCTCATAGTTGTCAACTTTCAGAATTGGCAGCGTTGCTGGATAGTTTGCATTCCCATAACTTGTCATCTTGAATTCTTCAATCGTTCTTGATTGATACTTCCCTTGAATCGAAACACAAGCTCTTGATACCAGATGTTGGAAATCCACCAATACACTATGATGAATTTCGACCACCACTTGATGATAAGTTATGAAACAAACAAATAAAAGAACAATGGAGATATTTCTCCAGAATTTCTATTCTGCCCACAAACTGTGGAAACTTTATTAATTCACTTTGCAACTGCAAAATACTGTGAATGAGTTCAATGACTTGAATTCAAAAATAAGGGTTACTCCCTCTTATTTATAGATTTAGGTTAGCTTGCTCCCTAAGCTAAACCCAAGCCCAAAATATCTCTATACTAAATCAAATCTAATCTAGATTTAAATTCAAATCTATTTAAATCTAAACAAATCAAATCTTCTTTTGACACCTATGAATTACAATTTAACAAAATATAGTTCAATATCCTTGCATGTCTCATTGGTAGGGTCTAGTTCATATCCTTGCAAGATATTTGGAGTGATAAAAAATATTACTTTAGTCACTTTTGTATCTATAAGTCTATAACTACCCATGCCTACAATTTTGCTATTTTTCTCAATCATTCTATATATTATCTTTTTTCTTTAAAACTTAGTATTTGTAATATTGTTATAATATTATAAAAAAAACATGTGAGAGTTATATCGTAACTAATATGATATTACAGATTTAAATATATTCAAAAATCAAAAATCAAAAGATTGAAAATCATAAATCTAAAATAAAAATCTACAGAAATTAAAACATTAGTAACAAAATTGTAGATAATTTTTTTTAAAAGTTTAATAAAAAAATAATATGCAATACTTCTTCATCTTTAATTGATCTACAATCTAAAAAAAAGAATGAAAAATCATAAATAATTCAGATCCAAATGCTTCAAATTAAAAAAAAAAATTTAAATTAACACAAATCTCTAATTTAAATCATTTACACCTCTCTAATATAAAAATTGAAAACAAAATACACATGAGATTTACTCCACTTTAATGTGAATCTTTTTCAAATCAAGAAAAATAATATATACATCATTTCGATCCAAATATATTCAAAAATCAAAAATCAAAAAAAATGAAAATCATAGATCTAAAATAGAAATATACAGAAATTAAAACATTAGCAACAAAGTTGCGGATGTTTTTTTTAAAACTTAATAAAACAATAAAAAAATAATCTGCAACGCATCTTCATCTTCAATTCATCTACGATTTTAAAAAATAAAATAAAAATGAAAAGTCATAAATAATTCAGACCTAAATGATTCAAATCTAAAAATAAAATAAAAATTAATATAGGTCTAAAAATAGTCATAGTTGATTACCTTCATTTTTCTCTTCTAATAGAAAATCCCTCTAATTTAAATATTTTACACCTCTCTAATATAAAAATTGAAAGAAAAAAAAAATACATCAGATTTATTCCACTTTAATGTGAATCTTTTTCAAATCAAAAAAAATAATATACACATCATACCGATCCAAATATATTCAAAAATAAAAAATCAAAAGATTGAAAATTATAGATCTAAAATAGAAATCTACATAAATTAAAACATTAGCAACAACTGATAATTTTTTTAAAGCTTATAAAACAATAAAAAAATAATCTACAAGATATTTCCATCTTCAATTGATCTACGATCTTCAAAAAAATAAAAAAAATGAAAAGTTATAAATAATTTAGATCTAAATGATTCAAATTTAAAAAAAAAAAAAAAAAACTAATACAGGTCTAAAAATAATCATAGTTGATCACCTTCATTTTTCTCTTCCCGTAAAAAATTCCTCTAATTTAAATCTTTTACATTTCTCTAATATAAAAGTTGAAATAAAATACATGAGATTTATTCATGATCAGTTATGAACACAGAAGTTGTGCTCTTATCACCGTTGCATATAAATTTTCAGTGTTGTTTTACTATCCATTTTCACTTCAATTGATCTACAATATGAAAAAATTAATTAAAAAAAATGATAAGTCATAAATGATTCAAATCTAAAAAAATTTAAAAAATAGAGAAAATATATAGAGAAAAGAAAGAAAAAAGAACATTAAGAGAAAGAGGAAAAGAAAGAATAAGAGGAAGAGAATGATTATTCTATAACTGAATAAATGAAATATTGGAGTCAAGAGATAGGTGAAATGAGTATGGAGGAGAGATTAGACATTTTAATTGAGAAACCTGAAGATTTGAAAAAGATTTTATCAAATGACAAATTATTGATGTTGAAGTTTAGTGTTAGATGTGCAGATAACTAAAATAGTCTATAGCCGCAATAGGTAGTTGGAGTGTTGTGAGAGACAAAACAAGTATAATTAAATAATAGAAAAACCTACTGTATGCACTAAGAAATTAAATGAAATGATGGAAACATGTAAAGAATAAAATATTTTGATTTTGTCAATTGAACCAACATAAAGCAAGTAGATGTTTTTGTATAATAAAAAAAAAAGTGTTTGTATGATAGAAAAAAAATTGTATTTACTTAAGAAGGTATCCTCGTTACACGCTAATGAAACAGCAGGGTAATTTTAATATTTTCAGAATTACAAATTTTCTTATTGTAAATATTTTGAAGCATTTTTTCATGAGGATAGCAAATACTATACAAAATGAAAAGAAAATAGAGAGCAAATCTCTTTTTTTTTTTTCTCTTTTCAAACCTGACAATAAAAGAGCATGTCCTCAATACTTGGTTTTTCGTTTTCACAACTCGAATTGACCAGAAACCTGAATCAACATGTTTGAATTTTTCTTGCTCTCAATACTTTTTTGATTTGACAAATTGTTTTCACTATTTTATGTTTCACATTAACTCTCTTGTATATTTATTTGATTATACAAAAAATTGATCTTATTCTTATATCAAAAGGAATTTTCATGTTAAAATATCAATGTCTTTTGTTTCTTCCATATACTTGTCTACATTTCATAAGATCTTATAAGTTTGGAGAATATAATTTCTTATGTGTTTGTGTACATAAATTTAACCTCTACAAACCAACAAACTAGTGAACATTCACATTGATGACTAAAAAAATAAAAATATTTAAAAATTTAAAAATTACTTTCGCCTAATCATTTTCAAATTTGTACTCAACTAATATTTTGCTAAAATTACTCCGACAGGCTAGTATGATCACTCAGTCCTTTCTGCTTTTGGCGTGTTTTGTACTGGCAAAAGAAATTTGATGCTGATTGTTGAATACTTGAAAATCATGATGAATATCTTAAATGGTCTGTTGAAATTGTCCAATAGATGGCCAATTTTGACGTAGCAATGGCCAATGAAATCATTATATCTTGCATTTCTATGTATTAATTTTATTCTTGTTTTGAATATGAAAGAAATATCAAGTCAAAGTCTTCGTGACATTCCAAAAGTCAAGAAGTTATGCTTAATCTGTTTCCAAACACCTTCGGGGAAGACTCGTGAATGCGTTTGAATAGTCAATATATTGACTCCAAGTCCACTATCGTTGTGTACCTTTAAATTTTAATCCTCCACTTATTATATCCCACCATCAATGATCATGAAAAGTATACCATCAACTCTCCACAAACTGTATAAACTATGCTATTTTAATGGCCCAATAGGAAAAAAGTCTTACTTTTTGTTTATTGACGTGTATTTGTTGAGCATAAATGGTTACATTTTAATCAAGACCTTGGAAGAGGAACTGTAAAGCCAATGCAGCATAATGTTTGGGGATGTCTTTGGTTTAGTATCATCCTCAAGATAAATATTGTGCGAGTGTCCGTGTTGATTATGTCAAATGGTTTGAAAAATTCAAAAAGATATTTCGATGAAGCTTTATGATGTTTGGTGCTCATTTCTTAAATCATATCAAGCAATTCAGTATTATTGGTTGATATATAAGTTGTTAATGAAGGAAACATGAACAACTTTTATGTATACTTTACAAATAAGTTATCAAAATTGATGGAATGCACAGCTTAATGTTATACTATTCATATTGTTATATGACTACTTTAAAAAGCAATACCAAATTTGGCCTGCACACAGATGCTCAAATTGACCGGCAAATAATCAACTTACGATTTATTATATTTGGTTGTAAAGAAGTTGATCAGTATCAGTTACAAGCTACGTTGATTAGACTGTGACAACTCAAATTAACAACTCTAAGCTCAAATTAACATGATAGAGACGGAATAGCAAGCATATGCAAACAAAAAGAACTGGCCAATAAGAGGAACAAAACTAGAAATAAATTAGAGATTGAAAAAAAAAAAGGCAGAATGAAAACAGATAGGAGAAAAAGATGGAGAAAAAGTGATTGACATGAGAATGGAAGAATGTAAAAACGTGGATTAAAGAGGAAATAATCAAACTTTAATGGATTAATATCATCAAAATGGGTAGGGTGATTGTTGATCATCTTTTTCTCTCTTCTTTCCCCTAGCTTTTTAATCATTTTGCTCGGTTGTGCATGAGATGGGCTCTGCCATGGCTTGCCAGAAAGTGGAAAGCCATGACCTTCATATAGCATTTGGTCAAATTTCTGCCCCACCATGCCACATTTGCTTCTCACTTCATATGCACATATCAAACCGTAATAATACATGTTGAAACCATGATAAAGAACTAACAATTCACAATGGTCCAAAATTGAAAAATGAACAAAATGACAGTTTAAAATGAGTTGATGACAACAGGTTATTAGAGCCCATGACACATAAGAGAAGTTTAGATGACTTGGCGCTAGAGTTGATGCTAGTTTCGTAACAAGTTGACAATGTTCTATCAGTTTGCAGAATACAAATGCTCGGGTCTCGAGATTTGTAGCAAAATGACAATTTGAATTTTGGGGAGTCACTTATCATACTAGGAAGACTAAACATAACTGAACAGCAATGGCAAAGACAAACAAAACAGATAATCAGCTTTCCAGTAATAAGAAAACCAATGAGGGCGATAAAGAGAAGAGTGACAAGAAAGAGATTTAGAACCCCAACATTGCATTAACCAGACTAACATCTGTCATTCAAAAAAGAAACACCAATCAAAGCATGAAATCACTTATCATCAAGTTATCATTCATTCAAACTACACATAACTAAAATACAACATATGAAGAAATAACCTTGTGTAACATGAAACAACACAATCAAGAATAGCACAACTCATAATCATACGATGAGAAGATAGGACAATAATAAGATCTCAAGATTTCATAATCATAAATCTAACAATTTTTATTGACATGAAAAATGGAAGCTTAAAATGCAATGTTTATGATGCCAATATTACCGAAAGTAAAATACCACTCAAGCTGGCATATCCCCAGCCAAACACACATCTGGGATTTAGAGGGATGAGGAAATAAAGTTCGATATTAGTAGCAAACATGTGAGGCAAAAAATGTCTTAAAGTTGGATGATTCTACCCTAATTTATGACAAAGAAAAGAAAGATTTTATAGCTAGCCTCATGGGTTCCACTACTTTGCCTGTGGATGAGATGCAATGAAGTCGATTGCAAGATTAATGGAGTTAATCTTGTCTGCTTCATTATCAGGAATCTCAAATCCAAACTCTTCCTCAAGAGCCATCACAATCTCTACAGCATCTAAACTATCCAATCCAAGGTCGTTCTGGAAATGAGCAGATGGAGTAATCTGACAAAAGCAAATAAGCACAGGCTCAATATTGACAAAAGAACAATAACTTAAATTATAACAGTGCACAATTGCTGGAAGAGGGATTTGAATTCTCAAAAATGATACAAAGTACAAACCCTTTAGACTGAAATGAGGTGTTAATAAACAGATGTAAATGTCTACACTAAGGTCCTTTGTATTGGTAATTGAACTTATCTACTAGCATAAGAATTTACGTGGCTATAGCTTATTGAAACAGCTTATAACATTGTCCAAAACTTCTTTCTACTTATTTTCACAAGCTTTGTAGGGTAGGGAAGCTTATGAAAACATTGATGGTATATTATCTCATGTTATAGAAATAACTTATACAAAAAGACTTAGAGCATCCACATCCATCATACCCATTTGGGTTCTTTAAATGGGACCCACATAATTTTTTATATTATTTCACACTTCTCAATTTTTTAAACAACCCATCTACAATTCTCAAATATCCATGTAGCTCATCAAAAAATCTAAAATGGATCCCACATTTAAAACAAATCAACTACATTCTTGCAATTTTATTTATTAATTTATTATCATGACCCACTTAATTGGAGTGTAGAAGCGTGCTTTAGTATGAGGACGTGCTTTAGTTCAGGAACGTGAAAACAAGTGAAATATCCATTTATTATTGACACAATTTCTTTAATAAATGTGTAGGAACTCTCAAAGAACACCGATAATCATGCTCTTATATCATAATCACACAAAAACTATCCTCCAAAATACAGTCTTCTTAAGAGGGACCAAACCCGTGGCAGTGAATAAATCTTATGTGCCGAAACAATTTATCTTTATACGGATGAAAGATTTCATCATAAAACGCACCTCATATATAACTAAAACAATATTATTATCAGTTGCTCTATCATGTCTAAAAACAAGTATAGCATTAAAATGACATTTGATTTGGTAATTCATTCGCGTATACAATGACTACTACAATGATTTGGTTATATATATATATAACACCAACACCTCTGAAAAAATTCACGACTAAGAGCTGGTAAATAATAGCTTATTTGAGCTTATTAGAGAACCTTCATTTTATCTATTGTTATAAATAACTTATACATAAGCGCTTATATATTGGAAATATGACCTAACTTTTGGGAATATAAATTAGCAATATGACCATTGATCCAAACATGACCTAACAATTGGAAATATAAATTTGCAAAATAAGCGAAAATAAATCAAGAAATAATTGCAAATAAACTATAAAACTTAACATCTGAACCTAGTAATGAACAATAATTAGGTTAAGAAAGGGATAATAGCAGAAGAGTGAATACCTTAGAAGGATCTACTTTCTGGAAGTTTTTTACGCAAGAAACAACGCGATCTGTGACCTCAGATTTATCGAGGAAAGAACCCCTAACCTCTTCGCTAAAGTGGCGGAGGAAGAAATTGGGAAGAAGACGCAGAGGAGATTGGTGGTTGAGCGGAAGAGTATCAACCTGCACTCTAAGGTAATTCATCAGAGGTAAACCGGTTCTTCTCGCCGCCATTGCTGATATCAAAAATCTCACTCTCTCTGTTCAAACCAACACAACGAAGTGAAAAGAAAGACTGTGAAGATAGATGAAATGATACCTGAATCAAACCTTCTTTATAATATTGGGCTTTTGTGTATTTTACCCGTTAGGCCCAAATGCAAGGCTGTGTATGTGAAGTTGCATACGTTCCTTATGTCATATCCATATAATATAGGATTATATAGGATATCTACGTACACAATTTCTCTTCCCACCCTTGTTATTTTTCTCAGATTATTTGTAAATTTTTTAAAATGTCTTCTGTTTTTTGAGATACATCTTTAGGCGCATTATTGATTATTTTTATTATAAAAAATTTTGAAAAGATATTTCTGAATTCTTAAAAGGGTGTGTTCGGAAATGTATTTTCGAACTATACTTTCAGAATCAAAGCAGCATAAATGGAAACACGACAACATAATAAAAACACACCAACATCAATATTTCATTAAATAAAATAGTTTATTACAGATAGTCACGAAAATAGATTCAACTTCCGAATCAGGGAACAAACATGTCACTTCCCTCGCATATCATGGTTACAAATGACTGTCTTCAATTTGAACCATTGTCGGATCTTCTAATTACAATGCCAACCCCCAAGTTCACGGCTATCAGTCGTACCCATTGAATCATATGTTTGAGGGTAGTATATAGTTGTTTATTTATGAAATGTTGACCAGCGTCTATCTCTATCACTTTGAAATCATTTTTCACAATTTTTAGTTTATTGTCCTGCTTAACTTCAACTTGTTTAACATCCTCATTCGCTACATCCTCTTTTACATCGATACATAAAGTTATTTTCAGAAACATATACGAGTGAACCATATCTAATAAGAAGCAAAAAATTTTTTTTTGTAAAACCAGTAACAGTTGAGTTCGGAAATTCATTTTCGAAAAAATATAGGTGAATTCAGAAATGCATTTCTTGATGAAGCGAACGTTTTTCAGCAAAACAAAGGATCAATGCAAGTAATGAGGGATGAAGTGAGGGAACTTTATCTAAAATTGTAGCTTATGATGCTCTGTTTAATGTGATAAAATGCACACAATCTAATTTTGAATCGAAAAGTTGATTGATATTGAGTTTTTTCCGAGGGTTTTTTGGTTGTTGTTGTACTCCAAAATTTTCCCTCTCGTGTTTTCAAAGGTCTTCCCTTACATGGTTGGTCACAAACCCTTGCCTAAGAAAAATAAAGTTTTTTGAAGATGAACAAAATGCCTTTCGATTGGCATCTGGGAAAAGTCTTTGATTGGGCATTTGGCACCCTTCGATCAGGCTTGGTTCACCAGTCTTCGATTGGGCATTTGGCACTCTTCGATCAGGTTTTGGTTCGCCAGTCTTCGATTGGGCATTTGGCACTCTTCAATCAGGCTTGGTTCAGCAGTCTTCGATTGGGCATTTGGCACTCTTCGATCAGGTTTTGGTTCACCAGTCTTCGATTGAGCGTTGGACCTCCTTCGATCAAGCTTTGGTGTGCAAGTCTTCGATTGAGCGCTGGACCTCCTTCGACCAAGCCTTGATGTGCAAGTCTTCGATTGAGCGTTGGACCTCCTTCGACCAAGCCTTGATGTGCAAGTCTTCGATTGAGCGCTAGACCTCCTTCGACCAAGCCTTGATGTGCAAGTCTTCGATTGAGCGCTAGACCCCTTCGATCAAGTCAATTTCACAAATGCTTCGACTAGTACTTCAGAGGGTCCTTCGACTGGAACTTCATATTGTACCTCAATCAGAACATAAGAACGAAATGACCTTCGAATGGCATTTTAGTTCAGAGTTTCCCTTAATAAGAACATCAGAACGAAATGACCTTCGAAGGGCATTTCAGTGCAGAGTTTCGCTTAATCCAAGGTGCTCTGATGAAGGAAGTTCTGGACATTTCGAATCAGAACTCAGACTCATCACAAGGCCAAGGGCTGGGCGAAGTGGTCTAATAGGGAATGTGCTAGATATATTCGAATTGGACTTTGAAGCTGGCAAAGAAGGCAGATTCGAAGGAATGAAGTAGGCTGGCATGACTAGGCAAAAACACATCCTAACCTGTCCAGAATACCCAAAGTTCACAATGGCATGACTAGGCAAAAACACATCCTAACCTGTCCAGAATACCCAAAGTTCACAATGACATGACTAGGCAAAAACACATCCTAACCTGTCCAGAATACCCAAAGTTCACAATGGCATGTGTCCCTTGCAAATATGCAATCGAAGCAGGGGGAGTCTCAATCGAAGGGGTTGTGACTGAAGTAGTTCGAATTGGGACTTTGAAGCAATCGAAGAGAGCAAATTCAAAGGGGGCAAGTCAGCTTTTGATTTCCATCATATTGGAGGCCCAAGACAACTCAGAGCAAGCTGGCAGAAACACATGATTGAATC